AATAAAGGAGATTCATCTATGAAGTAGGTCAGGTAACACCATAATAGCTTCCTTCAAAGAGTCTTCCAGTGCATTATAGCCTGGTAATTGCTCAGCCTTACAAGAGTGGGCAATCCGAAGCACTCTTTTTTGGTATTTCTTCAAGCCCCTTGTGACTACAGTTGGTGAAATAAAAAGGTCTTGCTGTTCTGTGACAACTGTCACAAAAGCACTAAAATATATCAATTTTTTAAAAAGGGGAAATTACCAAAACTCCTTATTAAACCTATCGGTAGCCAGAGGGTTCATGTGACACCATGTTTCATGAAGCCACCATCCCCACGCCCAGTGATAAGTGTAGTCTTAGAAAGTTCTGCTACAACCATTGCCAGGGATTCCATAGGCAAAAAGAAATGCAGGAAATATAGGAGTGTATAACCCATGAAGTCTGACACCGTTAGAAGAAAGCTACAAACTAATTTCAGACAGTTGTTCGGTTTAACAAAATTTTCACCCGGGGAGTACTACATTCAGCATTTTATATTTATTTTTATAAAGGCAACTAAAAGACAGGACATTAAGAAAAGGGATGATGGGTTAGAGTCAATTAGTTACTTATGCTAATGAAATTTTCTCCAGAAAGATGCTTCGGAACAAATCTGGAACAAGGCCTGGAATTTGCTACATATAAAAAATATACTCTGGTGTGAAATTGGGTTTTGCTTCAGGTATGTTCTAATGGATAAGTTTATACACGATTACTTTATTTCCATTAATACTGAAATACTACCTTGGAAAGTTCATTCAAACTCATTAGCTTTAAGCAAAAATGGCACCTATGCAAACAGAGAACTGCCACAGAGGGAAACTCTAAGGCTTCTAAGCCACTAAATTCCAGGCCAACTATATCAGTGGTCCCCAACCTTTTTTGTACCAGGGACCAGTTTCACGATTATTCATTCTTTGCAGCCCGGTACAAAATGATCCACGGACCGGTACCGGCATCAGCACGCACGACCAAGGCAAGGCGAGCCGAGCGACCGGCCAGCCAGCCGTCCCCCGCTTCTCCCCGCCACCTTCAACTTCTCCTTTGTACCTTCTCGTGGTCGATGGGCTTTTCGGGCTCTTTCTTAATCTCCCCCTGAGTAACGCAAGACTCTACCGCCATCGGGACGGCTCTTTGTTCGAAGCCACCCCCCTCTTCGACGAAACTAAGGCGCGAGGATTCCTTCAGCACCCAAACGCCGCTTTCCAAGCGACGACCGACAAGCTCACCCGGAAGCACTTTCTCAAGCGCCGTCGAAACAAGATGGCGGTGCCCAAGCAAAGTAGGCCCTACTTTCATTCTTTGCGGCCCGGTACAAAATGATCCACAGACCGGTACTGGTCCAGGGCCCGGTGGTTGGGGACCCCTGAACTATATGATACTATCCCAGGTACAGATCAAATAACTAAACCTACCCTCCATCCTTTGGTTGTTTCCACTCCATTGTATTCTGGGTGTGAGCCTCCACTTGCCATGCAGGAGGCCTAGAAAGAGAAAGCAAAGAATTTCATATTTGGACAGGAAGAACCAGAGCGAAGACCTGAAAGCAGAAAGCATATGTCAGTTTGCTAATAATCTGAATAAAAGTTTGTCAATTAAACTTGCAAACTAGTAGAATGTATAATGCAGATATCTAAGTGGTCTGTGGGCATTCCCATAACATTAAGCTAATATTAATTTAGAATCCATATGGGAGATGGAATAATTTCTTCCAAGCATAGTATTTGTGTGCAGATGGATAGATGGATGGAGAATTAATCAGTAGCTAGTAATTTAAGCTTAATTATAATTCTTTATGCCAGAAGAATTTCTCAAGGAGTTTCTACTCTAATCTAATTGGATTTGCTCTATCTTAATAATCTATCAAGTAATTTTTTCTTCAAGCCAAGCAATGGTTATGGTTTGCGTTGGTCTGCCTCCTACAAATCTACTCCGGTTGCTTCAAGATGGGAAAGGTCCAAGCACTTGTGCTTAGAAACTTCACAATTATGATTAAATTACACTGTCTGAAGTGAAAATAAATGTTGATTTGTTCTGCTTTAAGTGGGACACCTGCATTGCCACTTCCTGTTTTTGCTCCCGACTGACATCCTGATAAGAATTTTTTCCTAGCACGCTAATATTTATTTATTTATTTTATTTTTATTTATTTGATTTGCCAATTGTTTACAAGATAATAAGTATAAGTGTATACATAGTTGTGAATACATGAAATGGGTACATATAAGAAAAATAAAAGAAGAATAAGAGAAACAATAGGACAGGGACGGTAGGCACGTTGGTGCGCTTATGCACGCCCCCTATGACTTACAGCTCTGTAGCCTGTAGGATTCTCCAGCACAAAACGCTGCACTCTCTTCTGTCTTTGTTGATACAGCCTCGACCCCCTGTTTACGGACAGGGACAACTCCTCCATCATTAAGTCTTGAGGAGTGCTAACCTTCTTTCCCAAGTCTAACTCTGGAGCTGAAGACAAAAGAAATAATATATATTCAGATTAAGAAATATGGGTGCATTTGTTTCACCCGTTGCCATTCTTTGCACATTTAACAAAAAAAAATCCTGTAGTCAAAGTGTGTATAGGAATTAGACCTATCATAACTAGAGGGGGGAGTTGTTGCAACAAGAGACTTTCAACATAATTCTCTGCTTGTTTTCCTTGGTGTTTACTGGATGCTTGTTCTCTAGAAGGATCCTTGGTTTTTGTAGCTGAGGATGTGGCCAACTAAAAACAAACACATGGGCACACCTCTTTCCAGATGAACAGGAACAAATATTCCTCGAGGCTCTCCTAGCGCTAGGCTTTGTAAAATCCAGGTAATCCTCGACTTACAACAGTTCATTCAGTGACAGTTCGAAGTTACAACAGCACTGAAAAAAAGTGACCGATGACCATTTTTCACACACATGACTGTGGCAGGTCATGTGATCAAAATGCTTGGCAACCGATTCATATTTATGATGGTTGGAGTGTCCTGGGGTCATGCGATCACCTCTTGTGACCTTCTGATAAGCAAAGACAATGGGGAAGCCAGATTCATCTAACAGCTGTGTTAGTTACTTAACCACTGCACTGACTCACTTAACAATTGTAGCAAGAAAGGTCGTAAAATGGGGCAAAGCTCATTTAACAAATGTCTCATTCAGCAATAGAAATTTTGGGCTCAGTTGTGGCGATAAGTCAAGGATTACCTGTAAAGGGATTATTGGAATCAGATATACGTTTCCCTGTATATCTGGCTGATACTCCATTTGTACTGGGGGCAATAGAAGAATGAGACAACAGAGAATGAGGTGGCTGGATGGAGTCACTGAAGCAGATGGTGTGAACTTAAATGGACTCCAGAAGATGGTAGAAGACAGAAAGGCCTGGACAAATATTGTCCATGGGGTCGTGATGAGTCAGACATGAACTAACATCAACAACAATAACAACTCCACTTGTTGACAGAGAAAGGACTTTTTATCGGCAGAAATGGCTTTGAAGGCACACTCTGGTGTGAACACATCTATCTCCACCCAATGTATATTGGCTAAGGCAGAACCATAACCAACAAGGGAAGAATCATCCTGTTTGTTGCTGGTAAGTACAAATCTCTCTTATCAACTGCCTTTTACAAGGGCATCTCTGAATATCTGCAATTAGGCCATCCTCAGGTCTATTGAAGATGGGCATTAATTCACAATTGCCTGAATTTCACAGCACATTCTACTCAGTAGAATATACTCATAAACAGGCATGTGATGTTAGGAAACCTTCACAGTTTCATCTGTGTTATTCACATCTTCAGCTTTGTAAAGGCCCACAGTGATCTAAAATGCTAGGGAAGCCTGTTATTTAGGAATAATCTAAAAAATTATGGCAGTCAAAGCTGATTTACCCTCTTCTCCATGAATCTCTTTCACAATGGCTTGAATTGGTTCATACCGCTCGCTTTTGAGGTACAAGCGCGGAAGGGGAAACATATTTCCAGCTGCAAGGAAAACAAGATTTGATCAGTCTTCACACACCCACTTACTTTTCCATTGCCTCCATTTGTTTCCAGTGCTAAAACTTACCAGCAAAAATTTAAATAGGTGTAGAAATTCGATAAATACATAAATAAAGCTTGCCAGCAAACTAATTCTACTGGGAAAAGAGATAACAGTTTCTAGGTGGAAATAAGGACTTTGCATATCTTTGGTATACTGTTTGATCTAATGCAGCTCAGAATTTAATTAGTCCTGCTAGCTGTTATCAGCTATCATTGTCAATGACATGTTTCTAATCTATCCTGGAAAATGAGCTACATTTTTTCTCTTTAAAGATAATATTTTACATTTTAACTTATTGAAAGACATCTACTTCTCAACCTGCTCTTCAACCTGCCCCACATAAATAGCTAATGGCCAGACCTCTCAACTTTGTGATCTGCACATTTGATAAGTAGCCCATCAATTCCATTACCCAGCTAATAAATCCAAATGTTGAATGATATATGGGCAAAAGTCAAATCTCTGCAGGACCAACTGTCCACCACTACCCAACCTGATATAGAACCATTAGTGCAGATTCTTTTACGGCAATTAGACAGCCAGTCATAGATACATTTTACTATAATGCCATGCAAACCACATTTTTAAAACTTATAAAAGAGAGTATCAATGTCAAATGAAAAACAGAGTTTAAATCCCAGTGGAAAGCTAAATAATAATACAAAGTGATGCATTTAGCAATTGACCCTTTTCAAATTTCAAATGGAGAGACAAGGGACCAAAATGAGCCCACTATTAATGATATAATACCACAACTGGATTGTTACAATTGCCATAGTTCCTGGATTGTTCTTGGGTCAATAGCATCATAGTCACCAACAAAGACACTCTATTTCAAGCTGAGACTATTAAGAGAGAAGTAGCAGCATAATACTGCCTTGCATTCCAAGAAGGGTCTTATTGAAGTAGGTGATTGGCTCTCCTTGGCTTCCAGCTTCTGGGATCCTCCTATGGCAGCAGTCTGTTGCCAGGGCTATGAAAATACCGTATTTGCCGGCGTATAAGATGACTTTTTTGCCCTGAAAAACATGCCTCCAATTGGGGGGGTCGTCTTATATGCCGGGTCGTCTTATATGCCGGCAAATAGTCATTGGGAAGCACTGCGGCTGCCCGCGGCTGAGGCACTTTTGCGCACCGTGGAAACGAATCCCGTGAAGCCGAAAGGAGCAGCCAGCCTTCTCCCAGCTCCCAAGGAAACGAGGCTCGCACCGCCCGAGCTCCGCTGAGGTATCCGGCTGGGGCTGTCAGGAGTTGTTACCGCTGGTGCGGCTCCACGCGGCTCCAGTCCCGCGTTGCCTCGGGAAGGGAAAGGCAAAACCAGGAGCCGCTGCTGCCATTGCAAAGCGCCGCCGCGGCTCTTCCTTTTTGCCTTTCCCTTCCCGAGGCAACGCGGGACTGGAACCGCGCGGAGCTGCGCCAGCGGTAACAACTCCTGACAGCCCCAGCCGGATACCTCAGCGGAGCCCGGGCGGTGCGAGCCTCGTTTCCTTGGGAGCTGGGAGAAGGCTGGCTGCTCCTTTCGGCTTCACAGGATTCGTTTCCACGGTGCACAAAAGTGCCTCAAAAAAAAAAAAAAGTGCAAAAGTGGAAGGCGTGCGGAAGAGGGGGTGAGTATATAACAAACTATATTTTGAGTGGAAATGTTGGGGGGTCGTCTTATACGTCGGGTCGTCTTATACGCCGGCATATACGGTAGCTGTTATGCCAACAGGAGCTTGGAAGACAATAGAGGGATTCATTTTTAATTTCCCCCACAATTTCAATATTACCATAAGAACCAATCTCTAAGGCAGTTCACAAATCAAGTAATAAGATCAATAAGCATCAATAACATCACAATTCTAAGAAGAAGCAAAATTTAACATAGCCCACTGCTAATCAGAAAATAATACCATAGATGTTAATAGCTTGTCAAATAGCTTGTCAGAAAAAAATGATTTTGGGAGACAGTCAAATCTTGCGGAAGCTTATTTCACAGATTCAGTACAGCTTGCTTGCTTATTAATTAATTAATTAACTTTATTGGCTGCCTATCTTATCGCAGAATGAATCTGGGTGGCTTACAATCCTAAGCTAAAGAACAACATTGTTTTTAGTCTTTACCTCCACCTCCCAAATGAGAGTATCAGCTTCTTGAAGAGAACAGCCAGATCAGTCAGAGTCAAATTGGAGGAGATGGTCTTTATAGTTTCACATTGAGTTATACTTGGGTACTACTCAAAGCCTCTGCAGAATTAGCAAAATAGATGTGATATTGCTGAACTTGTGTGTACCCATTGGAATGTAGAGTGCTGCAGGTAAAGGTGAAGGTTTCCCTGTGCACTCATGACTGATACTAGGGCATGGTGCTCATCTCTGTTTCTTGGCCAAGGGAGCCAGCCAAGACATTTTCCGCAGTCATATGACCAGCATGTCCAAAGACATTTTGGAGATGCTGTCCAAAGACATTTTCCACAGTCATGTGGCCAGCATGGCTAAACACCAAAGACGCATGGAACACTGTTACCTTCCCAACGAAGTGATACCTATTAATCTACTCATGTTTGCATGCTTTAGAATTGCTAGGTGGGTAGGAGCTGGGGCAAGTAACAAGAGGTCACCCTGTTGTTCAGCACTTGGATTTCATATCCAGGCTGTCAGCTGTCCAAATGACAAGCTCAGCATCTTTAACCACCGAGAGCCTGCATTTTGCATCAATTTCAATTTCTGGGTGATCTTCAAAGGGTAGGCCTAGATATAAGTGATGAGAACTGCTATAGAGTAACTCCCACTCCCAAAAGGGCTGTTTCTGTGCACCAACAAAACTGAGCAAAGACCTTTTGGCTAGAGTTTCCACCTTCTGATGTAAGTGGAACTGCAAATCCAAGAGGACTTACAAATTGAAGACCTGCTGTCACAGAGCACACCAAAAATAGCAGAGTAGCCATAGAACCACCATATGGTTGCTAGGCAAATGTCAACTGCAAACTGATGAATGACTCTCTCAGTAGCCTCATGTAAGGGTTCAATTGTGTGGGAGAGATTACTTGAGGCCTGCAGCAAGCCTGAGTTGATTGATCGTTAGACTGATGGATTTTAAGCTGATACGCCACCAACTCTGCCATGATGGCTTATAGCAGGATTAAAAAATTCATGGTATGACAAACATAGCAACACTAAAACAAACATCCACAGTAAGTCTAAAATAACTTTAGCATTACAACCTTAAATTATCCAGGGTATGAATTTTAAAAACTCTAATCTCATAATAGATTAAAACAATTATAATCCTCTTCAGTAAATTTATCACACATATAACATAAAAGAAAAACCACACAATTAAGAATGAGCCAAGGAAGACAACATTAAACCATCCAAGGTCTTCTGGAGCGATACAGTTTTTAATACTTGTTTTGAGGCAAATCTGAAACAGAAAGGGAGGCTGTTCTATAATATTGGTGTCAACTCATAAAACATTTTGTATACATGTTTTATAGTTGACAGCAGAAAGAAGTGGGGGGGGGGTCAAAAAGCAGGCAGCAGTGTGGAATTGAAAGTACATTCCATTCATATTTTCTTCAAAGACTGATTAGATGACTGAAGCTTCTGTCACGCAAAAATCTAATTGGAGAGCATGATTGATGACTCTTAGCTATGGATGTTTTTCATTGGGTGATACACCCAGAGGGGTGGGGTGGGGGGAAAACAGGATCAAGGGTGACAATGAATTACATATCTCAGAGTTGGCTACACCCAGGTAAATGCTGGATGTAGAATGTTAACTTCAAATAAATCTTTTTTAGTTTTGGGAGTGTGGCTCGAGCCTCATGATTTAATTGGAGTAACTGCCGGAATCCTGACAATTGGACTGGTCAATTATAATTGGAGAATACAGTGTCAAGGTACCTTGGTGCCAAGTTATAAAGGGGCTTATAGGTCAAACTCAACATTCAAATTGCAGGTGATACCTATTACAGTGCTGGTCTTTAAGCACAAGGATCATATGCTTTAGGTGATTGACACCATCCACCACACAGTCTGCTCACTTTGTATCCATTGCAGTTTCCAATTGATCTTTAAAAGTAGCTCCACTTAGTGGTAGATGTATTTACTCCATTTAATCCACAACCATTGAAGGGGCCACTATGCAGTAGAATAGAATAGAATAACAGAGTTGGAAGGGACCTTGGAGGTCTTCTAGTCCGACCCGCTGCCTAGGCAGGAAACCCTACACCACTTCAGACAGATGGTTATCCAATCTCTTCTTAAAAACTTCCAGTGTTGGAGCTTTCACAACTTCTGGAGGCAAGTTGTTCCACTGATTAATTGTTCTGTCAGGAAATTTCTCCTTAATTCTAAGTTGCTTCTCTCCTTGATTAGTTTCCATCCATTGCTTCTTGTCTTGCCCTCTGGCGCTTTGGAGAATAGTTTGAGTCAGAGCTTTATCCCATATGCTTGGGCTTTTGCTTGAATCAGTCTTGACTCCTGACATTTGCCTGCACAAATCCATGTAGTTTTTTGGGAAGGCTTTTGGAGGTGATTTGCCTTTGCCTTCTTCCTAGGTCTGAGAAAGAGTAACTAGCCCCAAAACATCTAGTTCACTTAATGCCTAAGGTGGGACTCAAACCTACAGCCTTCTAGTTTGGTGCCTTCCCCACTACACCAAACTGGCTGCAATCCTATAGAATCTATTGAATATATAATTAAAAAGGAATAATTGTGTATTTTAATCAGTTTTCCCCATTCTAAATATATTTTCCTTAAAATAAATCCAGTTGACTTATTTCAGAAGAGTTCAGCCTTCTTGGGAATTTTCAATTCAATTTATATATAGAGAATCCCTTAACTGCAACATTAACGGCACATTAACTGAGCTACAGATGAAGCATTGGGATGAAATAAAATGCAAAATATTTCATTACATTTACTGACTAAATCTGTTATCTTCCCTCTTTGGATTTTCAATATAGAGTATAATTCATTAACTAACATCTCCCCGCCCCCCAGCTAACATATAACATAAGGCAAAGAATGCTAATTAACATTTCTTCAGTTGTTTAGTAAAATTACATCTTAATTGCCAATTAGAACAACTTAGTAAAAGCAGGGGTTGCACAAGGAGAATATGTAGAATTGCTGAACCAAATGTATTATTTCGTTTTCCATTCTCCCCAAATAATTCAGGACAATTTAGGCTGATTTTCTCTGGAGGTCAGAGCAGAACAGCATGTTTTCTTCTGAATTTAAAACAAAAGTTCTGAATCATGCATATTTGATCTGCAATTTGGCAAATCCAAACTGGTTTTTGTGAGAATAGAATGCTTTGAAGCCAGCTGATTCTATTAGTATTATCCAGAGGGAAAAAAGATTAAAGTGGACTTACAGTTATCCACTGACCAATATTGTTGCTATAGAATAACCTCTTCCTCCCAGAACTATAATGAAAGTTCAGTAATAACTGGCTTATATCCATAGGTTCTTCCTTAGACAAGAATGGAATTTGTGGTGATGGCCTTCAGCTGTAAACAAAGATACTTATTGTCAAAGCATAAGCTGAAGGTTAAGCTTTTTGAATGGGGCAGTTCTGTCAGGAACAGCTATACTTCTCAGCAAAAGGCTTCATATGGGACTCCATGTCTTCTTTCTGCCCAGAAAAGCCTTCCTTAAATCTGCCAGCACTATATTTAGCTGGTGACCTGAGAATATTGGAAATGCACTCCTGACCTTGGACTGTGAAGGATGCAGGCAACGTTTTCAGAAAGGATGAACTCACAGGGTTAGAAGAAGCAGGCAGGTTTAATCCTAAAATCACAAAAACTCTAGCTGAACTTCAGAAAAGTTGATCTTTCAATGAACAAAGGACTTTTCATCTACCTACCCACTTCAGCTGCTATTACTTGTGCACACACCGTCAGCCTAATCTAAAATATCACTCATGGGTGTCTATTCTTGGTCTTGTAGAATGCTTAGCAAAATTCTCTTGCACTTGTTTCTAGGTGTAGATTTTTGAGCCTGAATTTATGCCACCTATACTTCTTAACCTGTGTGTCAAAATTTACTAAGAATTGACATTCCTCATTGTGTTTTTTTTATTATTACTTTTTGAAATCCCCGTTAATTCTTTTTCTCCACTTGTTCCACTCTTCTTCCTTATTTATCCCATATTATTATCACCTATTATTATCAGATGGATGGTTTCTAAATTTTATATATGAATAAATAAATATTTATCTTTTATCTCATATGAATATTTGAACCATTTCCCAGTAGAAAGTAAGAAACAAAAGTCTTTGAATTTGCCTCATAGCTACCTAAATCCACGAGCCTGTTTTAAACAAAATAAAAAAATAGATATATTGGTTGGTTGGGGAAATTTTTTTTTTGTCTTGCAAGATCTCTAATTTTGAGAGTATAGTCTCACTCTGGCGTGTTTTGATTCAAGCCACACATTTCTTGCTTTGGTTAATCAAGCCAGTTTTTACCCTCAATTAAGAGCTAGAGTATCTGGTAGATTTCAATGGAAATAAATAAATGCATAATTGGGCAAGATTTTGGTCAGTCTGTATGTGTTTTGTTGCCACAAAAACCTGTATGGGTGTACCTGCAGGAGAGCTAAGAAACTACAAAACGTATTACTCTAAGCAAGCACTTCTGAGCTAAGCGAAGAACATAGTTCATAGTTTCAAATGACCATCAGCATGCTTCAAGCGCACACACTTCCCCTTCTGCTGCTTGGGGTGGGGGGCGTGCAACATTCTTCCAATAGCAACTGAAGTAATTTAATGCTGGAGTCAGAAAAGAACGCTAAGACTTCAAATACACACACACACACACACACACACACACACACACACACACCTATCTCGGAGGAAGTCTTCTGGAAAAATGGACTGCAGACGAAACTGAGCTATAATGGAGAACTGAGTTTTGTTTTTCCTTTCTTTAGTAATTTGAGTGAGAAACCATCAGTTTTAGATGAACGTAGGGAATCTTAATATAGACTCATCTGCTCTTTTGGACATGATATGTGTTTATCAATGGGGTCTCATCAAGATATGCCAGCAGTCCCAAATTCTCTTCCTTACTGGCTTCTAGGTTTCAGATCATCTCCTAGCAGCCCTTTTCTAATGCTGGGTCTTACATTCTTAGAGTTGGGCAATTTGACATTCCCAGATCAAAGTCTTGCCGGCGGACAATTCTGCACCCAAAGGGTCACCCTTTGGCATGGAAAAGCAGACGTAATACATCTGCAGTAGGCTTTGGATAGGTCTTCCCATTCATGTACTGTGATAAATCCGGTCTTGTTCCCAGTACTAGCTGTTGAAATTCCTTAAATTGTTAAAGATCTACTTTTTAAACTCTACAAGAGTTTCTCTGTTCCCTCTGAGAGATACACCTGTTGGGCTGTCTAATCCTCAATAATATGTGTACTAAATAAAACTGGTTGTCCAAATGACTGGCATAATCTTCCACAGTTTTCTCATAGCAGCCACACCGCAAACAAATGCCTTGCAAAGCAAGGTGCAAGAGTTCTCCCTACCTGCTCAGGCTCTTATTCAGACCACAGCAGAGTCTCTGTTGTGAAGTCTTGACAGAGCGGAGGCTTCCCAGGTGAGGATTAGAGATTTTTCCCAGCACTTTTTCTCACCCAAGAGATTCTCCAAGTCAGTGCTTCCCAGCTGTCCCCAAGTCTTGCTCTTGTGACTTTTTTGATCTTGCCCCGCTGAGATGCCAAGTTTCTAATCCATGTTACATCAGACATTTATTTCTGGCTGAGAAAAGGGGTGTGTCCAGGCCAGAGCAGAACCTTTGGGAACTTAAATACCCGTAGTAGCAAGTGCTGAGGCCAAGTGAAGCACGGAGGGGAAAACCATCTGTCCTTTTATACAACTAATACCACTATGTTTCATCTGGCCGCAGGTTCTGTACCTTTCACAGTAAAGTGGCAGGTGCAGAAAGTATTAAGAAATTACCATGTTTCTCTCAAGATTTTTCTACTTGGCTTCCTAATGAGCCCAAAAGAAACACGATTTCATTCCTACCCTCAAATGCTTACCTCAGTTGAATATAGTTAAACATTTTAATACAAAAGGGTGCAGCCACAGAAGCATGTATAAATGCCACCAAATGTGGTTGGGCAGACAATGGCACAGAAAATTGGAGTTGCCACTTTCCTAACAAATACAGATCATTTTTTTTAAACTGCCTTTTTTCTTTTTGAATTTTCTTTTAAATAGAGATAATAAAGCACATATTCTTCTTCGTTTAGGTGAATTATAAACAAATATGAGAAAGTAGGAACGGCTCAGGAAAGCATGGATTCTGGCCTGTTTTCTTCTTTCCAAGCATTGGCTCCTCCCTTCTGGATATGAAGGTCTGAGAATTAATTGCATAGAGAGTTTTCTAAATTAAAGATGCTTCCTGTGTGCATGTGTGTGTGTGTGCAATTAGCTTCATGACATCTATTCCTCCTTATGTGAAATATCCTGGCAATAACTCTATATGTATTTGTGTATGCGCTTATCCATTTATGTGATGAGCCAAGCAAACTCAAGAAGGGGCAAACTAGAAAAACGATGAGATCCTGTTCCCAATTGGCTTTCCAAATAGATCTTTTTTAGAGGTTGTGTTTACTTGGTGTATTTTAAAATGCTTCACGGCCTTTGTAGGTCAGATTATCTCTAGGAGATGCTCCTACCAGAAGACATATATTCTGCAAGCTGCATTGGTTACCAGAAGGCTCCAAGGGGCAATTCAAGGTGCTCATAACCATCTCCAGAGCCCTGAATGGCATAGGCCCACCAGACCTAGTAAAGAGGGATTGCAGTAATGGTGTGTGAGAAAAACCTTGGGAGATGGAGCAAAGAAATACTGCCTGAGGTACAGTCAGATGACATAAGATTTGTATATTCAGACTTGCAAGATTCTGTTAATGCAGCCTTACAGTAAAGTAAAATTAGCTCATCAGGTCATGTTTCTTGTCTGGTCTCCCTGGGAAGGTTGACACACGCTTAGGATCCCTTCTATTAAACAAGGCAATCTTGTTTAATAGAAGTCATGCCTTTCCAGTAGCATCACCTGCCTATGGAACAACATGTTCCCCTGTTAGCTTTTTGCAAGGCATTGAAGACCTGGCTGTTTCCTCAGACCTTTGGGTCAGTGGGAAGATGAGCTATGTGACTATTAATGGTGAGTAAGGTCAACTATTTATTCCTGGACGCTGAGGGGTTATGCTTGGTGGGTGTGCCTCAGTGGTGGGATTCAATTTTTTTTTACTACTGGTTCTGTGGGTGTGGCAGGGGAAGGATACTATAAAATCTCCAGTCAGAGGTAGTATTTGCCGGTTCTCCAAACTACTCAAAATTTCCACTACCGATTCTCCAGAACTGGTCAGAACCTGTTGAATACCCACCTCTGGTCTGCCTGTTTTTAAAGGATGGGCTCTTTTCCCTTTGTGTGATTCCTGTTTTTCCATTTTCTTCTTATCATTTTGCTCTCACAGTCCAGGCAAGTAGGAACAGCTCAGGAAAGCATGGCTCTGGCCTATTTTCTTCTTTCCAAGCCTCAGCGCCCGCCTTCTGGATATGAAGGTCTGAGAATTAATTGCATTGAGTTTTTTAAATTAAAGATGCTTCCAGACTAGGCTTTGTGCCCCCCTCCCCCGTGTGTGTGTGTGTGTGTGTGTGCATGAGTGTGCAATTAGCTTCCATCATTCATGACATCTTAAGGAAGATCAAAGTGAGACGATCTTCCACTTTTATTCCTTCTATATGTTCCCATTGCTTCTTCCATTTTTATTTTTTACCACATAAAACTTGCTTGGAAGAAAAAATGTTTTGATTCATCCGATTGGAAGCTCTCCATCTGGAAAAAAACAACCATACTTTGAAAAAAAGTGTACAATTTTTATTCCCTACTTTGGAGCAGATTGCCAACATATGTTTTTACACCCTTCTCTTTGGAGATAATAACTACGAGATTGCACCAAATGCATTTGATTATTATTTTGTGCCAAAAATGAATGTGGGAAAGAAAAACTTTCAGCTGTTGTGAAGTACAGGCTTGCATATGGATTAGAGATAAACAGAGAGAATGTGTCTTTCGGGCTACATTCTCTGCTATTCCCATCACATGTTTGAACCCGACAGATCTGTTCTCCATTCTCTTCATAAGATTGATGTGGCTTCCGATCCTTAATCAGAAGCATTTGTACTATGCACTGTTAAAGTTGGTGCGAAATTACACAGTGAAAACATTTAGCTATTTATTATCTGAGTATTCTGTAGGTCAGGGTTTCTTAACCTTAGCCATGTTAAGATGTGGGACTTCAATTCCCGGAATTCCTCAGTGAGCTTCAAGTCCACACACCTCAAAATTACTAAAGTTGAGAAACTCTGCTATAGGATTAATTAAACCATGGCTTATTTGTTGCAATAGCTGGAACTCCATGATTCATCATAAAATGAGCGTACAGACTAGTTCTACAGAACTCAGTGCTTTAAAATACCATTTGTCAATTGTGGGTCAATACGTTATGTAAATACCACAATAGTATCAGATCTAAATCTAAATTCACACCATTTTAAAACATCTATCAGTGATTGTTCCCAAATCCAGGTTTAATCCAGGGAAAGGGAAAAAAAGAAAAAAGAAAACCAGCTAGATTCCAATTGGGAGTAGGGCTTGATCAGAGGTAGGGTCACTTTTCAAATTTCTGTGATTTTTCTATTATAAAAAAATACATTAAAAATACCTAAACTCTTCTGGGGATTAGATCGAAAATTTTCAATGCCTCTTATTTCTGCCAAATAGTGAAAGGGACATACACTATATGAAAAGTATTTCAGACTGATTGATTTACAGCTCAAACTCATTCCAAAGCCAATCCCACCTCCCCAGATTTATCTAGGTCTTGTTCTATAATGGATGCATTCAGGCGTGCAGTTTGCTTTTTTTACTGCTGCTCTTTGCATTATGTATTGCTTTCAGGAAGAGGTTTGGGGCCTGATTATAAATTCCCACCACAAACATCTATTTAAAAAATGCAAGCAAAGAGCAACAGGGGAAAAAAATATCAGCAGAAACAATAGAATATAAAAATTATGGAAACAACCATAGCTATCTGCTTAGAACGTAAAATAGAATAATAGGATTGCAAGAGACCTTGGAATCTTCTAGTCTAACCCTTTGCTCAATATATATCATTCTGGACAAATGGCTGTCCAGTATCTTCTTGAAAATGTCCAGTGATGAAGCACCTACAACTTCCAGAACAAAGTGTTCCACTGATTAATTGTTCTCATTGTTGTTTCTTCCTAGGCCTAGGTTGGATCTCTTTTTAATGATGTTGCACCTGTTATTTCTTGCTTTGCTCTCATGTGCTTTGGTGAATAAATCATTTCACACTGGTTTAAAAATACACCTAATGTTCTCCTGAAAGGCTACTAGGTAAAAATGTGTCCTATTTGACAAAAGTACATGTGGAAAAGGGCTGCAGGCTGAAGCAGGAGACATTCTCCTAATAGCTTTCACTCACTTCTTCCTGTGTTTCTCTACCTTGTGTGTAACCTGCCAGCTCATGCTAAACCCTTATCTAAGGTAAGGTAAAGGTTTCCCTTGTCCAGTCATGCCTGATTCTAGGGAGTAGTACTCATATCTGTTTCTTAGCTTAGCATCATTGTCTGAAAACTTTTTTGTGGTCATGTGGCCAGCATGACCTACGAAAGTGGTACCTATTTATCTACTCACACTTGCATGCTTTTGAACTGCTAGGTTGGCAGGAGCTGGACTAGGAATGGGAGATCACCCTGTCACGTGGTACTTGGGTCTCAAACTGCCAAACTTCCCATTGGTAAGTCCAGCATCTTAACAGTGAGGCCACTGTGCCCTCTTGTCTAAAAAAGCAGCCCAAATGACTGGTCACAGGCAGGGTGAAGGATTTGCAGGGAGCATGTGGACAGCCTGCAAGTTGGCTGTGGGTTGAAGCAGAAGGGAGCAATCAATAAGAGCTGAGAGCAAGTGGTAGCATTGGCAACAAGCCAGTTGCACCCAGAAGTACCCCATAGAGAACTCAAAAAGATATAGGAGCAGAAGAAATAACACTTGTCTTGCAGTACAACAAGGAGAATGTGTGACTACAGGATACTCCTGGATAGCAGAAAACCTGTCACTCATTCATTTGGAACAGGTTCAGCAACAAAATGTTAGAAGAATCTAGCTTTTATTTGTTGGTATATATTAATTGTAATTGCCACACATTAAATATATAAAATAATATGTCAAGGTTTTTTTTTAGATAGGTGTATTGTTCTTTTTAAAAAAATCTGCTAAAGATGGATGGAAAAACTACATTTTAAAAGAGCTCTACATTTGTGTCTAAAAAGAGCCCATGTAATGCTAATTTTACTTTTCCGAAGCTTTAACTAAAAACTATGTGGGCAGATGGGTGGACGTTTGAAACAATCAGGTTTTTATTTTGAGCTCTACCTTAGTAAAAGCACATAATATCTAATGCTAATTATTATTTTTATTTCATTACAGGGAATGATGATATTATAGGAAGTACGCAGAGACAAAAAAGAAACTTCCACGTTTCCATTTTATGGTTATGTTTGTGCAAGAAAATAGCAAGTATTAAATAAATAAATAAATAAATAAATAATATATTTTATATATTATTCAGCTTAGTTTCCCAAGATGAGTGGTGATT